CGCGCCGAGGTGTCACTGTGGGTGACATCAGGGACGTGGAACAGACCCCCAGCTGCTCCAGCCGTGCTCTCAGCAGCCCTTGGACCCCGCTGCTCCCTTGGGCCGCACGGTGCCACCCCGCAGCTCTCTGGCAGGGAACAAATCCCATCCATCAAAGCTGCTCTTTAGGAGCAAAACCGAAGACTCAAATCCACATCCGCACCTCTGCTGGTTTTGTTTGTTTTTTAAATGATGCTCTCTGTATTTTGCCTGCAGCCCCGGCAGCCTCCAGCTGCAGCACCGTTGGCCCGCAGGGGGGCCCATCTTCATCCTCGCTTGGCCTCCAGCTGCTGTGCATCCTCCCTGCATCCCCTGCCGTGGCCAAACAGCAGCGCTGCAGCCGGCAGGGACCTCACAAGGGGGTTTATGGAGGAAATGACCCCAAAGGACGTGGCTGGGGTGGAAGTTCATTACTGTCACCTCAGACCTGGAAAAGGGGAACGAAGAAGAGCCAAGTGCTGAGCCTGGAGGGCGGCCCCCCTCTCTTGCTCAGACCCTACCTGGGTGGCAGAGGCACGGGGCAGCTGCTGCTCCAGCCCAGGAAGGCTCAGGCTGGGGGCCCTCATCGGCTCCAACGTGCGGCCGCTGCAGAGGTGAAGCCCTTCAGGCGCTGCCCTTATCGCCCCCCAAAGCCCCCCGGCAGCCCCGCTCTCACCTCTCGCCCCCTGGCCTCCTTCGCCACCCCCGAGCTGCCAGCACCAAACCCAGCCCAGGGCCCAGCAGAGCTATGGGGAGGGCGCAGGCGAGGGCCAAGGGAGCCGGGGGTCGGCGATAGGGGGCAGCCGGGCCCCCCCCCCACCTCCTCCTCGCAACGGGGTCCCATGTAACCGGGGGGACAGGCACAGACGTGACCGGAGAAGTGGGTGTAGCAAGTAGCACCGTGCAGGCAGGGCCCCGAGGCACAAGCGTCAGCGCGCTGGCGGCAGTCGTCTCCAGCGTAGCCCAGGGTGCAGGAGCAGCTGTAGCTGTTGGTGCCGTCCACGCAGGTGCCGCCGTTGGCGCAGGGGTTGGGGCTGCAGTCGTCCACGTTGTTTTCGCATCGTGCCCCCGAGAAACCGGGCTGGCATTTGCAGATGACGCTGTGACCCAGATCCAGGCAGTGCCCACCTGAAGGCGGAGACGGGGGTCAGCGGCGGCCGGTGGGGGGGCGCAGCGCGGCAGGAAAGGAGCCGCGGGTCGCTCACCGTGCAGGCAGAGGCGGTTGGCGCAGCGGTCAGCGCGGCGCTCGCAGTTGGAGCCGTGGAAGCCGGGGGGGCAGCGGCAGCTGTAGCCAGCCCCGGAGTTGGGGGCAGGCGCACAGGCGCCTCCATTGAAGCACGGCCCCAGGGCACAGGGTGACGGCGATGCCTCCGGCAGCGGATCCGGCACGGGGATTTTCTCCGCCGTTTCAGGGGCTTTGGGTGACGGGGGCCATACTGGGCTGGGGGGGTCGCAGCGCAGCCCCGCAGCGTCGCTCCTGAAGGCCTGCAAATGGGGGCACGGGACTCATCCTGAAGGAAGCCCCGGGTGGTGGTGGCAAGAGGTGGGGGGGGGTTCACTTTGGAGGTGTCCCTTACCGTGCTGTTAGCGCTGGAAAGGGTGCAGCCCCGGCCATCAGCCCCACAGCCCTCTGCACGGGGACAGGGATCAGAAGGCGGTGGGGACAGAACGGAGCCGGATGGGGAGAGGGTGGGCACTCACGGTGGGCGCAGCACAGAGGCCGGCAGCGACGGCGTGGGGGGACGCGGCAGGCGGCAGAGTAAGGGAGGCAGCGACGGATGCAGGGGGAGCAGGGGGGGAGGCAGCGGGGGCCACGGGCGGGAAGGCGGCAACGCAGGCGAGTGCTGAAGCGCAGCCCCCCCCCGGCACCCCCCTGCCACGGACCCCCCGGCACCAAGCGCTGCTGTGCCACCGCCCGTCCCAGCAACCGGCTCTGGGGACCTGGGCAGACATCAGTGAGAGCAGCAGGACCCCCCCCCTTTTATCCCCGACAGCCCCCTTCTGTGCCCACGGGCTCCCCTTTGCCCTCCACCCCCTCCCCCGACCTCCATCTGCCCTTCTTGCACAGCTGCCCCCCCAGCCCCGAACATCGAATCTCCTTCAGATTACACCAACTCCCCCTCGCCAGCCCCTCACCACGCGCCCAGGGCTTCACCCCCCCTCAACCCCGCTTTGCACTAGCTGCTCCCCCCTTCATTTGTCCCCATCTCCCACCCGCCTCCTTTCATCTCCCCTAATGACCAAACGATTCTCTTCCCACTCCCTGCTCCCGCAGGACTCTCTCGTCCCTAAGGATGCCCCCTTCGAGCCCCCATTAATTCCCTACTCACCTCCGGGGCCCTTGGCCTCCTCCAGCCGCCAGGACTCGATGATGAGGGAGACAGTGCCCTGGTGGCAGTGGGGAGCAAAGACGTGGGGGGAGATGAGGGGGAAGGGAGGCACAGGAAGGGCATTCGTAAGATCCTGGAGAAGCCCAAGCCTTGGCTCCATCAGGATGGGCTGGGGGAAATCCTCACCGGCCAAGGGAAGGCGAAGGGCAAGCGAAGAATGCGTGGAGCCCCTGGGGTTGGAGGGGGGCCGGGGGGGCTCTGAGCAGCCCCCAGACTGCAGCCAATCCCCATGGAGGGGCGCAAACAGAGACGGAAAACGAGGCGACAAGAAGGGGGGCCCCTGCACGGCCCCCCCCAGGCCGACAGCACCCGCAGCTCCAGCACCCCAGCCAGCTGCACCTGCAGGTGGGCATCAGGATCCCCAATCCCCCCTTCTCCTTCCAGTTCCCCACAGCACCCCAAAGCCCCTGCTTGCATGCCAGCACCCCATGGACGGATGCCCTCGGGATTCCTCCCACCGCCATCCCTCATCCATCCCCAAAACTCCTCCAAACTGGCCCCTACCAAAGACCCCACAGCACCCCCTGCTCAGCGCTCCCTAAAAGCCCCGAGGGTAATTCAGAATATCCCACAAAGGCGCCGCTGCCCCCTCCCCTCCTCCTCTTCTTTTCAGAGCTTCAAGGACAAAGATGCCCAGCACCCAAAGCAAAGCAAAGTTAAGGGAATTCCCCTGAGCCAAAAATCCCTGCCAAAGGGCATCCTGAGCCCCTGCAGGGTGCGCTCACCACGGAAGGGCACAGCAGGGCAAGGATGGCAGCCAGGAGCAGCAGAGCCATGGCCCGGTGCTGGGGTACAGCGGGGCGGGGGGCTCCCACGTGGTCCCAGAGCTCGGCAGGGTCTGAACCCGCTGCCACCCCTGGAACCCCCTGATAAGGACCAGGCCCCATCCTGTTATAAACCACACCTCCGACCCCACCTACAGCACACCCCCATAGGGGGGAAAAGGGGGGGAGGCAGCCCCTCCCCTGTGCTTCTTCCATCCTCCCACAGGCCCCAGGACAGCAGGAGAGGTGACAACACTCCCTGCCCCCCATCACAAAAGCAGCAGTAGAATCCCCACGGCTCCACGTAACCCTTTATTCACCCTCGCGGAGCCAAACCTCCCAAAATAACAAAACAACAACAACAAAAAAGAAATGTAGCTCAGACACAGCGCCAGGACCACCAGTCAAGTCCAAGCATGCAGTAAACGCGATGACAACGTCCCGGTGACACGATGACAACATCTTGGGCCATCACTGCTGCTTGGAACGTGCCCAGAGACGGCCGGCCAGGGCACCCAGGAAGAGCCCCGTCGGCTTCTTGCCCTGCGCCATCTCAGCCAAACGCTGCTGCTCCTCCTGCATCCCAACCAGAGCACAAAACACCCATCACTCTTCAGCCGTCGCTGCACCTCGGTGCCTTCCTCACTCTCCCACGTCTTCTCCCAGCCTCCTCACCTCCTCCAGCTGCGACCGGCGGCGTTTAAAAGCCGCCAGCGGATCGTCCTCCAGCGCGTAGTTCTCCAGCACGCTCCTCACGTCTTCAACACCACTGAGGGCAATGGCTGAGGGAAGCGGGGTGGGAACACGTCAGGGCTGGGCAGGGAGAGGTGGCGGGCGCACAGATGTGGGGGTTTTTTGTTTTCTCACTTTTGAGGAAAGCAGTGAGGTCGTAGAGGGCGCGATCATCGGAGCTGCCGTCCCAGCGGCGCAGCGCCAGGCCGTTGTAGGGCTGCAGGCAGAAGGCTTCCTTGCGGCAGTCCACCACCACCACCTTGGCAGGATCTCTGTTGAGGCAGGAGATGTCCTGGGGGTGGATAGGGGACAGAGAAGGGCTGCCATAGGGCCGGGGGGGGGGGGGGGG